AGAGAGAGAGAGAGACAGACAGACAGAGAGACAGAGAGAGAGAAAGAGAAATCCGGAGGAGATGCAGAGCTGTCATATTTTAAGATGAAATCAGGTTGAGACAAAAGAAACGTTTATCTCTATTAAAGAAACGTTTGAAGTTAGGGAGGAAGGGGATGTATGTGTGTGTGTGTGTGTGTGTGTGTGTGTGTGTGTGTTGTGTACGTGTGTGTATTGCGTGTGTGCACGTGTGTGCATGTGTATATGTGTGTGAGTGTATGTGTGTGTGCGAGTGTTTACGTGTGTTTGTGCCTTTGTTTGTGTATGAGAGAGATGTTTCTGTTTGTGTGTTTGTTTTTATGCGTACACGTGACGGCTGCACGTAAAAATATATAATCCGAGACAAAGGGTGAAACGCGGTAAGAATATAAATACGATAAGAAAGCGGAGAGTAAAGAATAGAGAAGAAATAATGCAAAGATGGAAGAGGGTTAAGGAGAAAGAGGAAAAGTTGGAGAAGTAGGAAAAAAGAGAATTAGAATCAAGAAGGAGGATGGAAATAGAGAAATAATGGAGAATTCGAATACGATAAGAAAGCGGAGAGTAAAGAATAGAGAAGAAAGAATGCAAAGATGGAAGAGAGTTGAAGAGAAAAAGAAAAAAAAAAGTAGGAAAAGTAGGAAAAGGAGAATTAGAATCAAGGAGGAGGAGGGAAACAGGGAAAGAGAATGGAGAATTCGAGAGATTAGAGAGAAATTAACAAGGCGGGATTTGGATAAAGTCCAGGGAATTATCCATGCGTCTTGGATAATGCGGATAATGCGGGCAAGGAGCTGAAGTTGGAGGGATATTAAGCTCTTTGATTGGAAGATTAAGAAGGATGGCAGCGTCTTCGAGAAGGATGAATGCACACACACCAAATCACTTACTCATTCTCTCTCTCTCTCTCTCTCTCTCTATCACTCTCTCTATCTCTCTCTCTCTCTCTCTCTCTCTCTCTCTCTCTCTCTCTCTCTCTCTCTCTCTCTCTCTCTCTCTCTCTCTCTCTCTCTCTCTCTCTCTATCACTCTCTCTATCTCTCTCTCTCTCTCTCTCACACACACACATGCTCTAAATCACTAGCTCACCCCCACTTACTTACACACACACAGAAACACACACATCTATCCATCTATCTATCTATATATATATCTACATATCTTTCTGTTTATCCATCTTTCTATCTGTCTGTTTGCCCATCATTTTTTTCTGTTTACTTGTCCTCATTCTATGCTTGTCTCAAACCATCAATCCATCGACCTCTCTATCTATCTATATCTATCTACACAAGCATATCAAACCGCCCAGGAGCTATGGGATGTATTCAAACATAGCAAAGAAAAAATAATTTTCGAAGAGAATAAAAGCTTTCAGAAACGTTTGTTGTCACAACACTTGGCAACTCATGCACTGTGTATCGTTCTCATGCGTCTGGCAGCGGCGCAGTAGAGGTTGTTATTTTGGTCTGTTTTCGTACCGCCCCAATCATAGCCCCAGGGGGCTGCGTGGGGTCTGGCGCCAGAGGTCAGTCATTATCATATGACGGACGGCTCATCCTGCTGAACAGCTGTGGCGTGTTCAAGGAGGAACGTTCCCTCTGTGCCGCTGGAAGGGACGGGAGGGATGTCCGTTAGTTTCTACCCTGAATTTGACCCTAGAATGCTGATGCCAGTACTCTGTTTTGAGAGGGACTTAGCTTGGATAATCAATTTACATAAGGAAAGAGTTGAAATAAGAACTTTCTTCTTCTTGAACTGCGGTATCAAAGTCTATTTTGCCTGTTAGTGATTGGGAGGGCTCAGAAAATAGAGGATTGAGACAGTGAACGAAGAAATAAGAAATACATGATATATTCCTGGTTGCGACTTTTAGAGACAGGTATAACACAGGGAAAGTTTCACAATGATTGGTTGATAATTGAACAATCAATCAAAGCGTGTGATACATTTCTTCCATTTGTTCTAATTTATGCTGAAGAGGATAGTGGTTTCCCGGCAGTGTTGATAATTAATTTTTAATCCCTTCAAAAGTAGGCGATACCTCATAATGTACAATAACTCAAAACAAACCACACAGGATAGATGATGTTAAATGATGTTAAACAATCTCTTTAATGTGTGTACGTTTATGTGGGTTAATATCTGCACGAACACATGTATAACATAGGCATCCCTATCTATATTATTCCTTTTAATCTGTTGTTTACTCTTAATTATCTTATCGTCAGCTAGATACCTGATCAACATTTTTCTCGTGAAGGCAACCATTTATAAGCATATTTTCCTGTGAAATAAGGAAAAGGTTCTTTAATAGCCTGTTGATTGTCATTCAGTGATCCTTTAATATCTACAGCTTGTGAATTGCAAGGATCTATGTTGTTGATTGTTATTTATGCCAATAGATAATTAAAAAATGGTAACACAGGCACACAATATTACACAAAATATTTCTGTGCACACTGCTGTATTTTTTTTCCCCTAATAGACTACTTTTATCTTACCTGTCAAAAAAAAAAAAAAAAAAAAAAAAAAAAAAAAGAAAGAAAAAAGAAAGAAAGAAAGAAAGAAAAAAAAACGAATAAAATGTATTAATAATAACATCAATAAACCTCCATGTGTCTTCATGGTACCGGATTTACGAAAAATATAAAACCGCACATGCTAATATTCCAAACATTTGGAGCCGAATATTAGATCCCTTTAGGCGTCTGCTGGACCCCCACGGGAACACATTAGACCCCCATAGAGCACTAAGACCCCTGGGGTCCACATCGGCGCAGAAATGAGACATCTGGTGATTTTTTTTCGTATTTTTTTTCGAGGAACTCATGTATATATTTTTTGGATCTTATATAGGAGGTTGCTTTCAGTTATAGGTGCGTGTGTAATGTATCTGTAATATATTCACGATATTTGTGTTATGATAAATATCATCAGGCGTTGATATGGAACAAGTGTTAATCATATTATGTCGGCTGCGTCAATATGATCTGATCAACTTAATGGAAAAATATACATGATGTAAACTTCATCATGAAAATTGATGATAGATTAAGTAAAGGATTTTAGATAAAGTTCTCAATCACAACCCCCCTATGTATGCGTGCGCGTGTGTATGTGTGTATGTGTGCGTGTGAGCGTATGTGCATGTGTATGTCCACGCATCTAGGTGCATGCGTGCGGACGAGTGATATCATAATAATAAAATATAATAATAATATAATAATAATAATAAATAATAATATCATAATAATAATATGAGTGATAACCATCCCAAGGCAGTACTGTTCGACGTCGCCTCCTCGTTAGCGGGAACGGCGGCGGAAGAACGGCCTTTTGAATCCTTACGTTCTCCCAAACTACGGCTTAGTGAGCGGGGTCGTCTTGGCTTCCTCGGAGGACGAGCCTGATTTCGTGTTTTATGTATATATATATTTTTCGAGATCGGTCAGCACCTATTTCTTTCTTCGTCAGAGTAAGATTTGTAATCGTAGTGCATTTTCCTCTTTTTTCCCCTTTATGTCACTTTCTTCAGAGTGACTTTTTTTTGTGAGACTCTTAGCGGAACAATTCGAAAATTTAGCGTTGAAATCCTGCGATATTTTGCTAAATGGACGAACGCTGTTGCTGTTTCTAATGTCACGAATGTAATGAGATCCATGCGCGGTGCTGGAAAAATCTCTGAAAATGAGAAAGAGTAAAGAAGGAAGAAGGACGGACGAGGAAGAGGAAAAAGAAGAAAATGGCGGACACGAATTAGATTATTTGGCGGAAGACGTTTCCTTTTGGCCCATTTTCCCAAGTCCTTTCGGCTAAAGTCTGTGTTTTACTTCTTTGTTTCTGTTTCTCTCTTCATGTCTCTTGTTCTCTGTTTGTTTCTCTCTCTCTCTCTCTCTCTCTCTCTCTCTGTCTGTCTGTCTCTCTCTCCCTCTTATTTCTTTTTAGATTCCTCTTTCGTCTTTTTCATCTAACTTTCCCTTTCTCCCATTTAGCTCTTTTTTTTTTTGTCTCTTTCCTCCCCTTTCTCCCTTGATCCTTCTCCCAAAGTAGAACCATTAACATTTTCTCGTTATCACCTTTTTTGTCATTTTGTTTCCCTTGTCATGAATTCCCTTCTCCTGTCTTCCCCTTCTCCTACCTTCCCCTCGCTTTCACCTCGGTCCCGAGACAACACATAAACATTACCACTTCCATCTCTCACCTTTTAGCACGTGTTCCTCTTCTCACCCTTTTCGCCCTGTACTGTTTCCTAGTATTTTAAATTTTGGCTCCCTTGAGTTTTGAGTAGTCTCCCCTATAATAGTTTTGACATCAGTGTCGTTTTCTTTTATGTCTCCCATTTCCTGTCTGTCTGCCTGAATGCTTTTTTTTTTCTCTTCTCTTGTCTCTCTCTGTCTCTGTCTGTATATCTGTCTCTCTCGCCCCCCCCCTCTCTCTCTTTCAATCTATCTATCTCCATCTATCTATATTCATATTCATTTCTCTTCCATATGTCTCTATATATGTGTACCTGTGTACATGTTTATATGCACGAATGACAAGTACTTGTACAAATGATCGTATCCTCCCATGCGTGGTATAAATCCGTCTCTCTCTCTCTCTCTCTCTCTCTCTCTCTCTCTCTCTCTCTCTCTCTCTCTCTCTCTCTCTCTCTCTCTCTCTCTCTCTCTCTCCCTCTCTCTCTCTCTCCTCTCCTCTCTGTCTCTCTCTCTCTCTCTCTCTCTCTCTCTCTCTCTCTCTCTCTCTCTCTCTCTCTCTCTCTCTCTCTCTCTCTCTCTCTCTCTCTCTCTCGTGTCCTCCCATGCGTGGTATAAATCCGTCTCTCTCTCTCTCTCTCTCTCTCTCTCTCTCTCTCTCTCTCTCTCTCTCTCTCTCTCTCTCTCTCTCTCTCTCCTCTCTCTCTCTCTCTCTCTCTCTCTCCCGTGTCCTCCCATGCGTGATATGAATACGTGTCCATGTGCGCGTGTATACACTCACGTCCACATGGGTCCACACGCCCACGCCAGCACAGCGCCCACACTTATGGCATTCCTGGTGGGCGCCACGAGGGGAAAAACGCCCAAATGCGATGAGGGGATTTAAGGGAGCGAGGGCAGGAGGAGAGACAGGACCCTCCGATTCATGAGGAGAGCGAAGTGAGAAAAAGAAAGGATGTAAAAAGGATTGAGAGAGACGAAGGGGAAAGGGAGAGAGGAAAAGGGTGGAGAAAGATGATGACAATTATGATAATGATAACAATAATAATAACAATAATAGAGGAGAGAGAGAGAGAGAGAGAGAGAGAGAGAGAGAGAGAGAGAGAGAGAGAGAGAGAGAGAGAGAGAGAGAGAGAGAGAGAGAGAGAGAGAAAGAGATACACTCAAACATACACTCACACTCACCTCACACATACACACACCTTTTGCAAAATCATTCGCACACATAAACACACATTCGCCTCCGCTAATGCGATCATGATGACGTCATTTGTTTACATTTGAGCAAGGATATCCGTCTTGCTTATTTTCTCGTTCAGTTTCCGATTTCTATTTTTTTCTGCTCTTTCACTCTCTCCTAAAATCTGATAATAAAATATAGAATTAAATATGGGAATGCTAAGAGTTATATTGAGATTAAAAGATAAGGAAATAGATAAATAGGTAAATAGATATTCATGTCATATGTGAAAAAAAACAGATTAATAAAGAGACATTTCGTAGTAAGACGGACTGATGTATGAATGAAATAAAAAAATATATATCAATCGATGCCTTAAAATCTACTTATCTCTCTACTCGCTCTATGCTTTTAGTCTTTAATTTCTTTGAATACTTAATCTACTTATTTTCTGTTGTTTTCTCTATTGATTTTCCGTATCATATACCTGCTCTTATCCGTGTTTTTGTCTATACCAAAGGTTCCTAATCTGGTCTTAGAGTTGGCACCCTATACTCACATAGTCCCTTCTGTGGCACCTTTTTTTTTTTTTTTTTTTTTCATCCCCCCCCCTTGTCATTACATGAATTTACCTTTAAAACAAAAAGCATCTTTGTCTTTTCCACGAATTAATGGAGCTTGAAACAAAATAAACACAGGTTACTTGCTCAGAGGACTGATATATATTTACCAGAAAAGAAAACAAAAGAAAGAAAAAAAAAAACGAGAGATGCTTAGGATACAGATACAGAGTTTATCTTGGAATGTAATCTCGGTTTCCCTTGGTACTGGCCAAGGCACACACTGGACTATTCATTTCTTCTCTATTAGTCTGCCCGTTTTTTTCTTCTTCTTCTTCTTCTTCTTCTTCTTCTTCTTCTTCTTCTTCTTCTTCTTCTTCTTCTTCTTCTTCTTCTTCTTCTTCTTCTTCTTCCTCCTCCTCTTCTTCTTCTTCTTCTTCTTTGACAATATTTCCTTTTTTCCATGTCAACCCGTTTTTCTTCTTTATGTTTCTTACACGCAAAAGAAAAAGCTTCCATTTTTCTTTTAGTTAGTCCTTACATTTTTCTTTGTTATAATCTACTATTTTTGTCTTTCCATTCCGATCAATTGTTCTTTTTATTCTACCCATTTTTTTTTCAAAACCAACTATTTTCTTCTTTCATTTGTATTTTCTTTTTAAAATTCGTCCATTCTTCTTTTTTTAAAGTCTACCCCTTTTCTCTCGTGCCATCTTTACATTTTCTCTGTTTTCCAGTCTGCCCATTTTCTCTTTTCTCCTCCCGTTTTCTTTCTCCTGTCCCGGTGTCTTATCCTTCCCTTTGTTTACTCTGGGATCCACTCTGAGATTGCCATTTCCTCTAGTGGCCGGCCTCCTCCTCTCGCTTGACAGGAATTGGGTTTTTGCTTTTACTTTTTTTTTCTTTTTTTTTCACCTGTTGCCATTTTTTGTGTGTTGTTTCGTGCCTATAATGTGTGTATGTGTGTGTTTGTTTGTCCATCCGCATATTCATAAATGGATTTACTGTACAGGAGGGAGAGAAAGGAAGAGAAAGAGAAATAGGCAGATAAATAAATAAACAGATAAACATATAATATAATAGATGAGACAGATGGTTGAGAAAGAGAAGAAGAGAGAGAGAGAGAGAGAGAGAGAGAGAGAGAGAGAGAGAGAGAGAGAGAGAGAGAGAGAGAGAGAGAGAGGAGAGAGAGAGAGAGAGAGAGAGAGTGAAACCGACAGACAAACAAAAAGACAAACAGACAGACAAAGAAAGGAAGAGCAAAAGATCGAGGACACGAAAAACAAACAACAAACAAACAAACAAGACAGCCTACACGCGCTATAATACTCAAATATGTTTCCGGCAGAAGTTCATAACCCTTTTCTAATATAAAAGGAATACCCGCATTCATAAAAAATGGAGAAAAATAACACCATCATATTTTCGTGTTTATTGGGGCGTTTAGTTGCTTTATTATTATTATTCTTATTCCATTAAATCTGACAAAACGATGTTATCATTTTTTTATATTATGAATTTTGTACCTTTATGTTATTATATTATTACGATTTTCTACTGTGAATTTTATGCCTTTAAGTTATTATATTTAAGAAGTAGATAATCATATATACTCTTTTGCGTTTTGTAAATGATAAAACAATTATGATAAGAGAATTTGCAGAACTTATCATGCTTGCTTTATTATATATTTATTCATCTTTTAAAGATAAGATATAGATGTGGAGATGATGTTTATGTGTTGTGTTTTGTGCCGAGACATGGCCTTAGTTTTGATTACATGATAGTGATAGTGATAAGGGAAAATGAGTAAGAGTGATAATGATCCCACCACGAATGGCAGTGAAAGATATGATGATTGGTTTGATGATAGTGATGGTAGTGCATTGTTGTGGTGTAGTAGTAGTGATAAGAATAGTAATTATTATAATGTTAATAACAATAATAATTTATGATAATGACGATGACAGTGATAATGATGATGGTGATGATGATAACTAATGTCAATAATGATTACAGCAATAATGGTAATAATAATGGTAAAAAATAATGTTGATAATTATAATGGTAATGGTGATGACAATGATTATAAAGATGATGATGATAATGATGATCATGATGGTGATAACAATATTGATAATAATGATGATAGTAATGATAATAATGATAATGTTAATAATTATGATGATGATGATGATGATGATAATGATAATGATAGTAATAAGATAATAATTATAATAATAAGGATAATAATAACAATAATCGTCATCTGCAGCATCTGATACCCACAGCACTTCCTTAAAATTCTTATCAGCATTTTCTTATCCATTGAAAGATCGTGCACTTCGTCAACTAGATTAGTCATTTCGTCGAATTCATTCACAATTTCACAAGATCTCAACTGAATTATTATTTTTTCTCTCTTTGTCCACATGTTTCTTCGCCTTTCGTCGACTGGCTCCTGGCACTCGCCCCCCCCTACCCTTTCCTCCTCCTTCTCTTTCTTCTTGTCTTTTCTCCCTTCCTTCCTCTCCTCCTTCCTCAACCTCCTTCTCTCTTTGCTCATTTCTTTTCTCTTTATCTTCCTCATTCCCTTTTCTTCGCCTCTTCCTCTCCTCGTTTCCTTCTTCTTCTTCTCTCCTCCTCCTCCTCCTCTTCCCCTCCTTCCACTCTCTTCCCTCCTCCTCACCTCCTCTGTATCTTCCTCCTCCTCCTCCTTCACTCTCTCATCCCCCTTTTCGTTCCTCCTTTCTCCTCCTCCTCTTCCTCCACCACCCTCCCCCTTACTCCTCTTCCCCATCCTCCCCCCTCCCTCCCCTTCCTCCCCCTCCCCCTCCCACCCCGCACCCCGCTCTGGATGCCAAATGGTGCCACGGACGGTGCCAAATGGATGCCCACACCCACTGCAGATTGATTAAAGGCGGCGAGGAAATGCGTCTAGTGAAAACGGAGCAGGAGTAGCGGCGGCCTCAGGGAACTCTCGCACACGGAGCTCGCCATATTCCAGGTGAGGCGGTGTTCGGATGCGTGGGTTTTGGGCTTCGGTTGTGGACTTTAGGGTTGTGGTTGATGGTGGTAATTAGTATATGAAATGATTGTGTTAGTAGAGGCAAAAAGATCATAGAGGTGATTTTAATGCATGTTTTTTTGGGTTTGTTTGTTTTTTGTTTTGCAAACACACACCACCACATATACGCGCGCGCGCACACACACACACACACACACACACCACACACACACACACACACACACACACACACACACACACACACACACACACACACACACACACACACACACAGATAGATAGACAGAAAGATAGATAGAGAGATAGTTAGAGAGATAGATAGAGAGATAAATAGAGATAGATGAGACAGATAGATAGATAGGTAAAAGGATAAATAGGTAGATAGATAGCTAAATAGATGGATAGATAGATAGATAGACAAACAGATAGATAGACAGACAAATATATAGGTAGATAGATAGATAGATGATACATAGATAGATGGATAGAAATATGAATAGCTAGGATTTGTTGAGACAGCCAGAGAGGTGGATAGTTAAATAGATCAACTAGCTGATGCAAGAATAGTTGGGTAGATAGATAGACAGATAGATTTGTATACACGTGCCTTCAAATCGAGGAATGCATTTTATAAAAGCGATAAAGCTTATGTGTAATCGTTGCGTATTTTAATTAACGAAATGGTATCAAATGGAATAGCATTGCAGATAATCTTCAAATAGATATGTTGAAACTGATATGACAAACAGATATTCCATAACACAATTCTTTTTATAGCCAGTTGATATATTCTGTAATGACTTTATAATATGTTCAGCAAGGTCGACCCTGACCCTCCCCCTGAGACCTGATTCAGATCTTGTTCATTCGGTCTTTCTACCACTTTATAAGCTTGTCAAAATTCTCTCCTTCATCGATTTCGGTTTTTGTCTGAAGAGGATCTCGTGAAGAGTTCGAAACGTCACTCTTATTTTCAGTTTCTCATTGTGGACTATTTTATTTTAGTGTTCACGTTACTG